AAACCTAAATAACATGACCAACATAGAAAAAAGGGAATGACAGTTTGATACTCTTTTCCTTTACTGTAATCTGACTGGTCATTTCTGCAATTCCTGTACTTTTGATAGTCTTTGGAATGCATCCAAACACAGCCCTTTGGCCAGCCTCAGAATCGCTTAGTAACTATCCAGTTATTTTACATACTGAAGGAACCCTTCTCAGATTTAAGACAGTACTCACCGATTTACAACTTCCATTGAATGTAAGGACATGTCCATGTTGACCAAGACAGAAAAATACTCTGTTATCTGACTAGACTGCATCAGCTTCAGCAACATTTCTATAGCTACTAAAGGATTGTTCTCAACCAGGTCTGGCAATTTGGCAGGAGTGAGACCAATATGGTAAACAAGCTTGGGGTCCTTTTCCAGTTCTCCAAGGAGCTGTGAGGGAAGGAAGGAAGGAAAAAAGACTCAGGGGTTTGTTTGGTTTTGTTTTTTTCTTAATTATCCACATTACTGCTTGAAGAAACTGCTATAATGCATCTAAGCTACAGGAGAATGATAACTCTTTAGACTGAGGCACCTCTACTTGAAAGACACTGAAGGTATACTTTAAACTTTCTATGTAACAGCAACTGTGCCTGTAAAACCTTTAATGAGGCATTTAGTAGTCTTTCATCAGTAGGTGGCAAGGAAGGGAGGGAAAAAAAAAAAACAAGTTTCAGCCTTCTTTAGTTTCCTGTCCAGCAGAAAGAAACCTCAATTTCAAGTTCACTGCTGTCAGAAAAAGTTCTGCAACTAGAGGATGTTTTATAGTGCTAGCATAATGATAAAGCCCACTAAAATCCAGAGTAGCACTAGCAAATTGAGGGAAGAAAAAAAACAAACAAAAAACCAATCTGTGTTGTCATTTCTGAAATAATTACCTACCAAAAGCTTCCACAGAAGCAGGAACTTTGTTACAAGAAGATTTTTCCATGCAGAAAAATATGAGTGCCATTTATTGATCAAATGAAACTATGTCCAGTCAGTGCTATGAAGTTTAAAGAATTCTTCCTTATTCATACAAGCCCAAGCCAAAACTCTTGGGTTGTTACAATTTAAAGTACTTGGAGTTTCCTGAATCCAAACACACATCAATTGAAGTGATCCAAGTTTTCTTAAATACATGAGTTAACAGACAGCTTGTTAGAAAATCATTTTACACAGAAAAGTAGATGAAACTTACCTGTGTTTGCTGTGGGGAAGTCAAGGGACTTTTAAAAGCTTTTGCCATGATTCTTTTTATCTCAACTCCAGTGCTGTTCTTAACACACATTGACTTATCCCACTGAATTGTGTGATCTGGCTCTATTGGATTTAACCAGGCCAATTCATCCTCACATATATGGAGTGGAGGTGGTGGTCGAATAAACTCTGGTCGAAAGTGACCTAAAAAGGCAACAAGGCAAAATGTTTTTTAATTAAGCTCCAGGTATTCAGTTTTCTATCAGTACAAAAAGAAAAACCCTGAAGCCCTCATTTCTTTAAGCTGTTCTAACTATTTTAACACTGAGAACAGGATTATAATATTATTTGCTTCCTAGACAAACATTATTCCTGATTTCTAACGAGGCTGTTACATCAGTCTTTTTCCTCTCATCGCTAAGTTTTCGATTGTACCATTGACCTTTTAACTTCCACAGTAACTGCTTCCTTGGAAGGTGTTAACAGTCAGTGCAGATTTTCGTGTAGGGGACACCAAGATCTGAGGGGCAACAGATGACACTGGTAACAGCTTGAAGACAGGCTCAGATTTTTAAAAGCCTGGAACTGCTAACACCGTGGAGTCTGATCTGGAGACAGCCTGACACGGTTTTGTCTGTTTCATTCATCTTCATTCCCATTTCATACCTTGAAAAATACTTCTGAATTACTTTACATTTCATCTGGAGAAGTATCCCAATACAGCATGTCATGAGTTACAGAAACAATGATGTGAAAATGCACATACTTTCTATAGGAGGTTTTGGTCCACTCACTAAGGCTTCAGTGATCTGGGAGGCAACAGAGCTGTCAAAACCGGAGTTGGAGGAATCTGGGTCAGGATCGCTGAGAATGCTGGGGAAGCTGGCCTTGCTCTGTGTTGGCAACTCGGACTGACGTTCTGAAAGAAGGCCAGTCCATAATATTAAAGCATAAAATTGAAACAGAGATGCCTGGAATACTAAAATAGTAGGAAACAATCAGCTTTAGAGAAGATCTAGCTTTAAAAAAAGCCAGGTAACATCACCATGAAATTTAGTACTGAGTCAGGCAGAGTGCCTGCTGACAGGCAAGGGATAGAGGCACACAGCAAGAACAAAGAAGAAATAGAAATAAATCTGAAACATAGTCTTGATTTTAAATAACTGATGTAATCTGCATCTAAAGGCATATTAGTAGATTCACACATTACTCCTGAAAGAGTTCACATGCTATATCTGTGAAGTTTTGCAATCACTTCTTCTCAGAGTAGAGAAGTGAAAAATCTACACTGATACATTTAGAGGCTCCACAACAATAATGGTCATACCAGACCTGAAGTCAGCTATTTAAATTTCTCCACCACATTTCAGTGGCATTGTGTAAGCTACTTTTGCATTCGCTGCTGAGCTACAGGAAGTGCTTGTGTGGAAAAAATGGAGTTTAATTGTTATGTGATTCTATGTACATCACCATTAAAGCAAACCTGAGAGGACCTGAAAGCGTCACTTTAAGGGCCAAATTACAGAACATAAACAAGTTATGTAAAAATAACGTCAAGTTTAGTATATACAGCTGAAGACTCGAAGAAACTGGCCAAAAAGAAACCATGGGCCTCAATACTCTCATTGCCAGATTTGTAGGTGTTCTTCCGTCACAATCTATCATTCTTCTGTATCTGAAGACTCAATGGCTGATCTACAGTCTCTGTATTATTTTGAGAGATTATGTTTTCCATTGCTTTGGCAAAAAAAAACCCCAAACCAGACAAAAATTGGAAAAAAAAACATTACAGAACAGCACCTGACATTCTTTCCCCCCCACTTTCTTTTTCAGAGAACATTAATCAACAGATTAAGCCCTAGGTATTCTGACATCCAATATTGTTGGTACCACTCTTGAAATATTTTTTCCCTTGAAAAGTTCCACATGAAACTAAACACCACTCTTTTTCCTGACTAATCAAGTGTAGTGCTGTCAGATGTACTGTACTGTCCCTATCACTTCTGAGCAAAGTGTGTTTGCTCCTCTTTGTGCACCACGTGTCCCTCCCCAGCTACCCACACCTGTGAACTCCATTTGACACGAGTCCAACCAAATCCACAAAAGACACTGAAACTGAGAGACAAAAGGATCCTCAAAACAAAGCACCACTCATTGCAAGTTTATTTTCTGGCTTTCTGTCCTACTTTATCCAATTATTTCAGATCATGGAAACACTGGAATATATGCTCACTGAAGTAGCACAGCAGAGTATGTTTTTCTGTTACAGGCAACAATTAGCATCCCTTTTAGTTACTTTCAAAAAAACAATTTTAAAGTCAAAGTCCAAATGAGCTGGTTTATAAAACATGTCTTCGACTTTATAAACTGTTTCAAATTCCAGCTTGTCAGTATTCTCATTTAGTCACTGAACAAAAGGGTTGATTTAACAAATTAAGTTCTGGGGGGGGGGCGGGAAATATATATATTGGGTGTCTTTTTTCAGTCTTTTTATTTATAGTCTAGAATTTCAATCTATCAGTTGGTAGAAGTAAATTTGGTTTCATCCCCATAATCTCAATTGATTAATGATGCTTAATTAGAAATATAAAAGTTTAAGATACAGTCCTTCAATTCACTGATTTCAAGAAGCCTGCATGAATCCCTAGTTATATGCACTCACTGCTTCAAGAATTAGGGCTACATCAACAGTTCCAGGTAAGCAGAAGCAAGAATTCTAACATGCTGATTTAGCAGGAAAGAACACAGCATCTTGAACCAAGACATTTAAATTTAAAAAAATTAATCTGAAAACCGTCACTTCGGTTCCCTAATGGGGCTACTTTTTTTTTTTTTTTTTTTTCTTTCTTTTTACAGGTAAAAGAAACTTCTTTTGATTCCTATAGGAAAACTCTACAATGTATTACAAACTACTTTAATACAGGTCAATTACTTTTAGATCAGATAAGGGTTAGCAGACAAACAGTTGGGAGCACTTTGCCAGAAGACCCATCCCTGGAACTAGGAGAAAGTGACATTTTTGATAGGGCAACACACCTGATCATCAAAACCAAGTTATAGGGAGAGACCGAGGCTTGAACAAACATTCTGTAGACCAAAGTGTGAAGAGAACAAAGCAGGTTCTA